GCGATCATAACTTCAAGTACTAATATACATATATACGCTGACGATAATCGACACAAAACGAAGCAAGGTAACCTCAGGCTTCGAGTAAATGGACGGTGTTTACTGGTGCAAGGAAGGTGGTTTCGCAGGAACTCTATCAGGGGGGGGGGGGCTATCGATTTTGGTGCTCGATCGTTTTAATGGCTTGTGGTAAAGGAATCACATTTAACATATGGGATAATTCTTACTTTATAGAAGAGGTGCTAAACATAGTGAATGGGAAATGTAGGTCTAGAGAATCAGGAAGACGAGATGTTGGAAAAGAATATGAACAGCTACTGAACGTTAATGAAATACACTCATTTGCAAACAAATTTGGTTTTGAGAGAGAGTCACCTGGAACTCAGCTGAATCTCTCGGTTTGATGAGTAGTGCATTAGAAATATATACGTATCGCGATATCTCGCCTATCGTGGGGGCTGAAACATGACGCGGCCTGGTGCAGCACCTTCAGTAGCCTGGATACATCGAAACCGGGAGATTCATCTGAGTCCCAGATGAGTCTCTCGCAAAACCAAATTTGTTTGCAAATGAGTGTATTTCGCCAATTTCGTGCAATTTGGTTTCAAGCAGAACATAAGGTTGATGGAAACTCGGGGACTGTGCCCATCCGATGAACCCCAAAAAGGGCGAAACCGATTGTGGGCTGTCGAGGGGTTTCCGGCAACCTCATGAGTTGTGCACTACAAATAGCTACTGAACGTGTTTTTAAACAGTAGATGTGAAAGATATATTTAAATGAAACGTAGCTGGAGACCTCCGTCAGAACGGGAGTCTTTGCAGTCTGAATGCGGGTGGGCTGTTACAAATTTGACTTAATAAAGTGGGAAAGGTTGGACAAGAACAGCTAGTGATATATGTTGAACGTCAGTAAATGGTTCAAACCGACAGGTTGGTAGAAATCAGGGCAGTTTTGACGAACTTGCACACAAATACTCGAGACAGATTGCCCTGCATTATGAGTGAGCCTCTTTAAGACAGTAACGCTTTGCTAATCAGTCACTTCAGTCGTCTTCACAGGAAAAGTTAGGGTCGAGGGATTCGCGTACATTTTCGTCGACAGAAGGTTTAGAATTCCACTCAGGTTTTTCATCTTCCATCTCTTGTAATTCTCAGGAGAGAGGAAGAGTGCTACTGTACCTCATAATTGCAGTAAGCAAGTGGTAAGCGAATTTGTCACTTGCAAACGAAATTGGATCCACGAATTTCAGTCATTTTTTACCTATTGCAGGTTTCGCTCCCTTTAGAGGGATTACAACCAACCAGGGATTTCTTCAGGAATCCAGTGTGGCTATTTATGTTCCAAAGCACAATTCAGCCAGCTTAGGAAAATCTGAAGTCATGAAGCTTGGCACGGTATAACTCATTGAATCTTTCCAGGGAATTATTGTTCGCCAATTGATTTGATTAATTTGACTACTTAGAGTGGTCGGCTGAAGTGCTTGACCATGCGTCGTGAAAAACCATGAATGCCGGAATCGTTTAGTAGGCCGTGAACTCTTCAAGGTTTTGCAAGTTAATGCCACTTGAATTAACCGCACTTCAGCCCAATTCATCACATGAGATTTCCCGCTGTGAACCCAGGATGGGCAGGTTCGGAAGCCGACCGAATCGCAACACTGACAATTCATGCAACCACGTTGTGTCAAGATAGTGTTTGTTGAACATTGAAAGATTCTGGACAATGACACTTCATGCCATTTAGCAATGGTGACAGACTGAAGGCAGGCGTTCCACTTACACGCAGTGGGCGAACTCGGTTTCAGCTGAGGTCTGAAGCTGAGTCAATGGCTTCTCTCGCCTGGTGTAGTCGAATGATTCACAAACAAGTCTACATTCCTAACCGACCTAATTTGTTAGCGAACTACACTCATTTGTAAACCGATTTGGTTTTCGAGAAATACACTCATTTGCAAATCGATTTCGTTTCCACGGGAGACTCAAGTGAATCTCTCGTTTATGATATTCTGCAACTGAATGTGCTGCACACGGGCCGCTTCATGATTCAGTTGGCAAGATACTTGAGACATCGCAGTATATTTTCATAAAGGGAACTACTCGCAAGTTTGCTGAAAACTCTTCGACAGCTCACGACCGGTTTCGCCCTTCCACTTCGGACTCATCAGGTAGGCGCAGTTCCCGAGTTTCCGTCAAACTTATATTCTACTTGAACCCAAATTGGACTGTTTTCGAGAAATACACT